TGGAGGCGGGGAGATGGGGGAGGGGGGTCGCTGCATGATTAGCCACATACGGTGACCAAGTCCCTGCAGTCGTTTGACTGATTGGATAAAAGCGTGTTAAATGAAGTGTGTCACCAACATAAGAATGAGTGTATACATGTACACACAGAATTGCTTATCTTATCAACAAGAAATGTAGTCAGGACAGCCGGGAGATGCATGAGAAGAAGCGATTAGAATGCTCAAAAGATAACTCCAGTTTCATCTTAGAGTTCGTTTCACAATGTGTAACAAAGGGCGTAACAACCGAGAATAAACTAATCCATAATAAGACCTGGGCAACAACCGTTTGGAGTAGAACTTGCCATGGGACGCTTTACTGAGTGTATCGATTTTAATACACACGAACCGATTGATGGAATTACCAACATTCTAATGATTTTTTTCTATACACACCAGTTATCTGTATCAAGTCGATACCAGGTTATTTACTGGTGTGTTGCCGTGTTATCCAGCAAAGTAATATCCACTCAGTTACTAGGAAAGATGGATTACTCCTCGTGGAGGTGTAGATCAAGTTGTTACCCGAAAGCGAAAAACTCAAGTCAACTATTGCGCAATACCACGGGAAAAAAGAACACTATGCTAACTTGAAAGATGCGTTTTCAATTTCGTACATTACCATCATCTTCGAAGCACAGATCATCGACAATTAACACCTAAAACTGTGCAGTGAGAATCGTTATTCAACTTAGCTCTCTGTTGTCAACCAAAGTTTCCTCAGCTTTTCATGCTTCCAATAACCGTGAACACATTCAACTTTTGCCTATTCACTATTTTTATACCTATGTAAATTATCTCATGAATTGTGGTATGTATGCGCAAAGATATAGCGACTACGTTGGATAGCGTTGGTAACATTTTGATGGAAAAATACTGTTTTCAAATCAAATAAAATCAGCTTTACCCGTTGAGCTCAAATCGATCTGATGAGTATTACTGAAACCAATCCTAACACACTTTTGTATTTGGTGATTGATCGTTTTTGTGTGATGAATAGCTCTGTATTATAAATCGATTATTGTTGTGCTAGTTATTGTAGAATTAGAACCAATTCCTATTTCACAACTATGTGATGATTTTTAGGTATTGGAGAACAAATTGAAATTCACTCTGGAAGCTAACTGAGTTTTGTTTTCACCCCTACTGTGCGCTGATCCGGCTTCATGAAGGTTGCGGATGATAGCGTGGCGTGAAAGATTAACAGAAATGAGATCGACGCTGACAGGGACGCAGTTCGGATTTCAGTGGCATCGACCAAGGACAAATCTTCGGTTTCTGCTTAGCTACGTCTTCAGTTTTTCCCCACATCGATATTGCAAACCGGGCCTGCTGAGTTGTTAGACGTTATCTCACAATTTGGACGAAGTAGAACATGACTAAATTATCGTCTTCAATGTGGATGCTGAGATAATAGTTCAATAAGTGTAGTGAGGAATCAAATTCTATGGCAGCTCACTCGCATCAGATGTCACCTGACTGGTCGGCCTACCATCGATTTAGCCATCATGAATGTGCTTATTGATCTGTGTTTCAAATGTTGGCCCTGTAAATCGT